TGCGCGTGCGCTAAGCCAGGAGCTACACTGATTCGGGACCAGAACGTAGGCGAGGTGCCAAAATAGGCTTATCGGGCTACATAAACCCGGAGCCCCGTTTTCCTAGACTCTGCAGTATTGCCCGCCCCGAGTTGACTACTGAACTGTCTGAACTGAAGGGCGCTCAACTCACCATCATGGTTAACCCAGCCCGGTTTCACGATTTTCATTTTCTGTAGGACAAGCACTGATAAGGTAAGAAATAGTTTAAGATTGCAGGTTATGGGCTTTGAAATCCAGAAATCAAAGTGCTTTCTTTACGTGAAACTGAAACCCCTTCCGAGCGTAAGACCCGCCATTGTTGTTGTGTGTACGCATTATCGGTTATTTATTCCTGAAGAAGATGTTCTTGTTATCCTAACTTCCTCCTGCCAGCAATCACAAAAGTGCCAAGATGTTCTTGCTCACATAATTTTTGTACGGACCGGTGGTTCAAGACTGGGTCAAAGTTCAGCAATCGTACCGGCCAAGCTGAACTTAGAGACTGAACATTGTAAACAAAGGCCCTACCCTACATGTATGTTGTCATCGTATATTCTTTCTTGGGTATAAAGTATAAAAGTGATGTAATCAACAGTTCGTGAGTTGACTGACAGACTTATTATCTATCCATCGGTATCCATCATTCAACACAACCTCCTTCGACTCTGGATGTAGACTGATTGATACTGATAGGATAGTGAAGTGAAGCAGCTGACGTGTAGACTGTAGATCTAGATCTAGATCTAGATATCTAGATCTAGTAGTGTGGTGTAGGGAAGTAAATCTATTTCTAGATCTAGATCTAGAAATCTAGGCTAGACTTCTAAATCTAAAGATAGGCTACAAAACTGCTGGCAGAATTTATAAATGTTGTTTAAAATTTTTTCCTAAGTTCAAAAGTTAAAGTGGATTTCGCTGGACAAAGACAAGAAGTCAAGGAAGTAGTAAGTGAACATTACAACGAAACCAGGTCTGGTAAGGCCACCTCTATTCTCACCCAGAGTGAGAATAGTGCAGGCGAGTCTTGTGGCTATTCTCACCCAGTGCGCGTTCACCAAATTTTGCGTTCACCCTAAACCACAGAATTCTACACTGTGATAACAGAAAAATTGTAGAATTCTGTGCCGTGAACAAACGTTCCATTACAACTGTAGCTTACTAAAAGCGTACAATTTTGTCTGTGGGCAGTGGAGAGAAAGAGAGAGAGGAGTAGCGCGAGAATTTTCGGGCAAAACAAAATGGCGACCCGCGTAGTTCGGCTCGATTCGAAAAGTTAAATAGCCGTAGCATCTTTGTAGACAACCAAATTTATTTACTTTTGTGTTTTAACATCATTTTTTAACTTTGTTTTGGTCAATTTGATCGTCCACACCGATAGACAGTATTCAGAAAGAGACAGAGAGAGAGAGAAGAGGGGAGGAGTTGATCTTGCGAGAACTTCCGGGCGGGTGAGAATAGCCACTTTCGTCTGGTAATGATTACACGAGCACGGATAGGAGAAGCTGCTAATTAAAGGGCCAGCTCTATTCGGACTCGAGTCTAAATATAATTTTTATCTATTCGGACTCGAGTCTGAATATGGGTTTTATCTATGGTAGCGTCAATTGCCACCGAGTGACGCGGTGGCAATAGAAAAAAATTGACTTTTTGTCAATTGCCACCGAGTGAAGCGGTGTCAAGTCTGAAAACAACACTATCTTTAGCTTTGTACATAATGTGTGTCTAATGAGTCAATTTGTTCTCAATAATTTCATTGGACGAGCATCTAGTCCAGAGCTACGGTACCAACTTGGCCTGTTTTCAATGAGACATAGGCCTAGATCTAGGCTAGCCTTAGCCTACACGTTGATGTAGAACCAACACCGGCAATTTTAGAAGTAGAAGGTTACAAACGCACACAAACTCAAGCAGAAATTCACGTTATATCGGGGAACATAAATCGGGGGACGGGGGTCAGAAAAAGACACACACACACACACACACACACACACACACACACACACAGAGGGACAGAGAGGCAAACGCACAACACCGAGCACTCGAGCACAACAAGCTTGATCTACCCACCAACGCAAAAGAGCTCCAATTTACTCAGTGGCAATTGACAGTCACTCGGTGGCAATTGACACTCTACCTTTATCTATTCGGACTCTGGTCCGATAAAAATGTTTTATTTATTCGGACTCAGCTTCAAAGTGAGTCAGGCCTATTAGATTTGAGTGTAAGGAGGTTACATTTGTCGTCGAGGGATTTTATGTAAAACCGGAATTAGAACTTGAGTTGCCTACAAGGACTGTGTATTGTGTCAAAAGTCAAAAGACTTCACTCTCATTAGATCTACCCTGCAGTGTTTAAGTACATGGTAACCAACAACTCATCATTCATGGTGTTTCCACCACCATTACAGCATCATCATGACTTCCACCACCATTTGTCTTTCCACATGTTTAATATCATTTTGTTGTGTGTTATAGTTTTTCTGTAATTTTTTTTTTTTTTAATGACATCGCACAAAATGGGCAGCAGTGGCCTCTTCCCACATCAAACCAAGAATGCGATATGTCGCTACGCGACCAAATCTCCTTGGTCGACCTTGAATTAACTTTGCCACTGGCAAGGTCAACTCAACTTAATTGTTCTGTTCAAACTAATGATCCAGATAGATAGACTAGAATAGCTAGTAACTTGATATTAAAGCTCATGTCTCGATTGTTATCTCTATAAAATAGAAAATTTTTTCGTAAATGCTGGAAATATTTAGGAACAAGGGTCGGAAGTCGGAAAGGACGTCATATGCTGGACCATAGTGCACATCTATGTGCTGGACTTAATTCAGAGTCCGAATATAATTTTGTCTATTCGGACTCGAGTCCGAATAGTCACTTTAAAATTAAAGAGTCTTGTAGAAAGTTTTAATAATTTTAAGTCAAGTTTATTAAATTTCTTTTATATTACCCCTCATTCTTCACTGCCAGGGGATGTGCATTCCTGTGGTCAGCACTGATTCTCAGCTAAACTAAACTCTTTAGCCACAATGGCAGTCTCATGTCTCAGTGTTCATGGAATTGGGAATCTAGATCAAGCCCACAGTGACATACTCCTATATTAGATTCATATTTCGGACTCGGGTCTTTGATTGTGTCACTTTCTATACTATCCTCATTCACTGTAGGCCTATTCCCCAAACTTGCAAGCTAATCTAAGTTAAAAAAGTGAAATTTTCGGCCTTTTCAAAGTCATTTTGATGTTACCATTCTGTGAGAGCGCATATATAAATAATAATTAATTGCAATGAGGAAGACTACCTGTGCATGTGTTTATCAATCACTTGCATGCAAGCCAAGCGCTGACAAATAGCTTTAAGCAAATTTGGTACGAAATGCGCTTTTTTTACACCCGAATGCAAATCCATGCAGTGCATATATATGGTGGCCATATCTACGTACAGAAGAATTTGAGTAAAATAATTTGCGTGCAGTACTTGTAACTTAACGTATAATAAATAATAGGCACCCAGGAGCAGCAAATTTTGCCAACTTCCGTGACGTATGGTAGGCCTGTATATATGGCGCACAGCTATAGGATAGTACGCTTTTTTCGTGATATATATACTTGTTCATAAAAGGCAGCATAATATAATTTCAATGTCTACTTGTTCAACAGCTCCTTATTCTCATTCCACTTTTAGTCTTCCTTCCCCAGGAAAATTACACACATCATGTATGTCACATTATAGTTCACCCTATGTCCAGAGATTATATTGTGGAATTGACTTTTTGATAGCCGCAGATAATTTTGACTCTGGATGCAAATAGTTAGTGACCGCTTCGTGACCTCGCAGGTTTTCTCACCAAAATTAAACTAATTTAAAAAACTATCTTAATTTTATCAAATCCTATAATGTGTTCAGAATAAAAGATACTGTTCAATGGCACCAGAAAAAAGGGTAAAAATGTAAATGGTAAGGGAAAAAAAGAGAGGACAGTGATGTGAAGAAAAGGAGCAGTAGATAAGAGCCGCTCTGAGCGTGGCTCTGCAACAAAAAACAGGACCTGAGACAGTCGTGTAGCTGCTGTGAGCAGCACTGCAGGCTGAATAAGTTAAACCAAGGTTAAACCGAAAACAACGATCCTAAGGATTGTTTATAAATAGAATCCATGATTTTTTTTCTCCTTTGTTTTCGTAATAACACTTTTATAGGCTCAGCCAAAATGCTATTTCTAACCCAAAATGAATTTTTCGGTTTCTGTTGTCTGAATCTTCACTAGCACCCCTCTATAAGTCAGGCAAGTTCAAGATATTGAAATACAGATGAAAGTGACATGAGAATGTATCAATTTAGGGCCAGAGAGACATGGCCAGTGTACTTATGTTGTTTGCCTAATTGATCACATACATTAATACCTTCACACTCATGTCTAGTGACTAAATTAAGAATTATTGTCTCTGCAAAGCTAGTTCATACTCATCAGCGCATGATGTGTATTACGAGGTCACTGGCATATTGGGCCTTCCCACTTAAAATTCTCTAGGCTTAGAACTAGTGCAAAACACAGTTTGATCATATAATAATTCTTTTCTTTCTTTTATGCGCCGCTTATACCTTTTCGGTGTCGCGGGAAGAAAGAGACGTCTCTCTGTTGCCGGCCGGAGAGCTTGGGTTTGGGGGATGGCTTGGGTGGTTAATGTTTCCCTGACTCCATCTATCCAGGTCTTTCTCTGTCGCCCTCTAGCCTTGTTGCCATCGAATTTTTTTATGTAGGCACGTTGTGCTGGATGGTGTGTTGGTAATCGTAGGAGATGTCCAAACCATTTGATTCTTTGGTGTTGGATGTGATGCTTGACATCATTTGTGCCCACCATTTCTCGGATTACAGAGTTTTTAATTTTGTCTCGCCTGATCTTGTTTACTGCTTTTCTAAGGCATCGCATTTCGCATGTTGCAATTCTTTGTTCTAATGTCTTGTTTGTGGTCCATTTTTGGCATTAATAGGTGAGTGTTGGGATGAATATGGTGTTGATCATTTTGAGTTTTGTTGTCTTGGGGATGTTAGGATGTTCCAGTAGTGGAGTAACCTGGTAACTAACATTATTGGCCTTTTGTACTCATGTTTCAATTTCTCTGTTCAGTCGCCCATCCTCTGTGAATATATTTCCGAGGTACTTAAATTCTTGCACCTGTCTGAGATTGTTGTTCTTGATGTGTATCCTGAGTGGTTTTGGCTTTCTGCTTACTTTCATTGTCTCTGTTTAATTGATGTTGATCTTCATGTCGTAGTTGTTACATTCATCGTTTAATCTGGTGGTGTGGTGGTGGAGACTTCGTTCATCTTTGTGTGCCAGGCTTTGGTCATCATCATCATAATAATAATAATAATAGATACATTGTCATTAAAATAATACTTTGTATAGGTATAGACGGACAAATTCTCACTCAACAGCCAGGTCTGTGCGCTTTACAGCTTCTACTATATATTAGTACCCCTGCAGACCTGATAGCTTTCTGAAACAATTTCAACAATTTTTAGGAAGCATGCAGTGTAAGCAGCCATTTTACAGGTGCTAAACCCTAACTTACTTGACAAGATCTTTCACTGTCTATGGCAGGGTACCCATTCTCTCCTAGATGAAATGAGGAAAATTATTGTTTAATTGGTGTTAATTGCCTTTCCCAAGGGCACAGCATTTCAGCTGAACATGTGTAAAATAAAGATTTTTTGGTGGCTTTCATGAAGTATGTGTTGGGTTTTGGCTGACACCTTATGCATCTGATTGCCAGTAACAATGTGCATTTATTAAGAAAAAATCTCGATTTTTTCGAAAATGTCACTAAGTGGGTTTTGCATCTCACTCTCTCATATGTCTAGCCTGTATATAATATTATTATGTAGGCCCTATAATTGTGTCTGTGGTACAGCACAATACAGTGGAGCTTTTTCCTCTGTTCTTTATGGCCGTTTGGCAGATTAAGCAGGCTAACAATGTAATGCATACACACTGCAACTCGAAATACAAATTAAAAGGGGTAGATAAGAAAAAAAAACTTTGTTAAAAAAATGACATTTTTCTGCATGCATACCATTCCCAGCTGTTGACAATCATCACAGGGAGAGTTGTTATTGCTGTTGTTGTTATCCTTCCAGCAACAGGTGGGCTCTTGCCCTTCTGTCCAATGCCATGTAGTGATAAGTGCAGGCTTCGTGCAGTTGCTGCAATGTTCCATTAGTAGAGTTTTTGAGTTTTTAGTCATTCTTAGGTCTTGGAGTTGGAAGGAGAAGTGTAGCTCTGATGTCATTCAGGGCTGTGCAGCAGAAAAGATGATGATCCCGTCTCATATTATGTGTAGTCACACACAGGACGCAGGGAAAAGTTCAGCTTTTATTCTGCTTTATTAAGTGGAAGTTGACCTGTGTATGTTCTGTTTGTAGGCAGAAGATCGTGGTGTGTTCTTTTCTGTGAAGGTGTTTGATATTGTCATTTTGTTTGTTGCAGTCATACTGCTCTGCCTGTCTTTCCCAAGGCGCATCTGTTCATCTGGGGATTTTTTTTACAGTGGGCTGCTTGCAGATCAGACAAGTTACATGTTGTCTATTAGGGTCTGTAAATGTTACATAAAGTGCATAATTCTTTGCTATGTGCCCTATGGTGGCCTCTGAATATCTGTCAGTTGGGAAGATGGTTTAGTAAGTGTATGACATCTCCCTGATCATCATTTTGCAGGTAAATGACTACACCGTGGCATTCTGTGCATGTGCAGGCATAACTGGTGTATCTGTGAGGTTCAGGTCCATCCTTTGTGTATGATTTCTTGAAGTAGGGCAACATGGATCTGTCTGCCCTTCGGTACTTTCTGGAGTTCCATTTTCTTGTTTTTCAAACCACGGATGTTGAGTTGCAAGAAGTTGAGGGAACTCTTCTTCTCTTTCGGGATGTAAAAGGCTTCCTTCTCACTCTGAGATCTTTTACTTACTGGTTTCTGTGTGTATCACCAGCAGCTGATTTGTTGGTCAGAGCAGCACAGTGATTGCACAGACTGCAGACCTTTTTTAACGAGGTGACATCCAAGCTGGCATGAAATTTAATTCATTTTGTCATGGCATTGAGGACTGGGGTGTCTGTGGACAGCTTGCCCACCCTGAGAAGAGGCCATGCATGTTGAGGATAGTAGGGTACAAGGGTTTTCATGAGTCTGAAAGACCTTATAACTGCTCTGTAACCGTGTGGTCCTGATAAGATTCACACTGGACATTCCCCGTCACCAATGCAATGACTACTGGCCATAGCTGTCAGTTCACCTTTGCATGTGGTTCTGGCCAAGTGGGAGAGCCATTGGATCATCACGTCCTGGGTCTTTGTGCTTTTACTAAGAGGTCCATGGCTAGGGAGCAAGTCAGGCATTCTGCTCGATCCATCCTTGTACACAGACATTCTCAAACTGGCTGATTCCTTCTCAGCCACAGAGAGTGCATTAATGACAGAATTCACAAAAAAATTGGTTTATGAGTTTTTTTGTGCGAAAATTGTTCTCAGCGCACAAAAAAAAGGTTCCAATTGGTCCGAAAAATAATCTAAAATGGGTTTGGACCTTTTCTATAAATTTACCAGTGGCCTTTTCACCCTGGCAACTCAGTCAGCTTTTTTACTCGACTTCCGTTTTTATTTCCAATTTTGTGTATAAATTTCTATGGAGTTAGGCCGGGACCACTTCTCCTGAAGAGTGCCAAAGCAGGGGTGCTAGGCAGATTGAACACCCACTCAAAGGAGAATTGAGGTTTGGTTGGTGAAGAGCATAGCGTTCACCACACATCGGTTGGGTTTGCCTCCTGCTCCTTTCGGGGCCACACCGGCTCCCATCCTGTTATTTTAACCCCTCTAGGAAATGGGGGGTTGGATTGTTGAAGTTGACATCTTGCCTTCGTGTGTCAGTTAAAACAGGGACCACCAAGGGGAGGTAGGTACGGTGAGCTGGATTAGGAGAAACTGTGTGAGACGCACATATTTAAGCATCTCTTAATTTTTAAATGATACCAACGACTTATCTTTCATCCCCGCTTTTGAGACAAAAAAATAGAACTGACGAAGATTAGAGTGGGAAAAAATCATTTAACCCCCCCAAACAAAAAAAAGCTAAAGTTTTGCCGATGAGAACTTTCTCGGGAATGAAGGGACATAACTCAGTATGTATTATAATACCTAGATTATGTTGGGTGGATTACTTCCCTTTAAAGTGCATGCTTATTGAGCGCTCACTCTAAACCGAAATTATAGTTAAATTGAAGAAAATCCGGCTATTGCCCAGACTTCCAGTTAAGTGGGTTCCACTTTATTCGAACCAATATTCATCTTTTGCAGGAGAATACATTGTTCAAAGTTTTAACTCACTCAACTCACTGAATCCAGTCCACCACTGCTGTACTGCATATTGTGTCTTGACATGTCAAGAGAACTTTTCTTTTTTTGAATGATGGGCTGAAAAAAATTTTGCTTTTGCAGCCAATTCATATGTAAACTTTGTCCAAAAAATTTTTGCTTTTCAAAACTCAGGTATTTCATGTGTGTGCAGTTTAGGCAGGAAAATAACAACTCTTTAGATCATGAAAATTAGAATCAGTGGAATCTGCCTGAACCGAAATGAGCGGGACCACTGTTTATTCTTCTGTTTTTAGTTAACTTTTAGTAAGGTTTTACGGTATTCACAACTGCATACGGTCATATGAGCGTCAAGGGGTGGATGTCAACAGAGAGGTAGAAGTCCAAACGGGGAATCAGGCTCTGCTCAACCCTCTAGCCTCAACAGCACAAAGTCTGCTTCAATTATCAAGGCACCCCAGAAATAACAGTTCACAAGATATAGAGAGTGACAAACATACAAAAGAAGTAGAGGAAAAATGAAGATAGTAAGGAGAGGAAAGAAAAAGCGGCAGCAACAATTCTTCTGTTTAGCCGGGGTTTAGATTCAGTTAACACTTACAGTACTGTCAGCAACTTTAGTCGATTTAACTTACACTTACAATACCATCGATGACTTTAGTCGTCAGGCTGTAGTTTGTGATCATTACCGCTGGCGACTTAAGTCGCCGATTCGACCTGGCACGCAAAACATAATGAAACAATGAACGGGCCAATTGCACTGAAGTCCTACAGGAACTCAACTCTATATGATAGCTGAATGGTTGAATTTTTACAGTGTAGTTTCTTGGGCTGCGAAAGTTTTTTTAATTAAAAAAATTTATACCACGGCTTCAGCGTTCTAAGCTTGTGGGTTTTTCCCTATATGAGCCTCTGGTACTGTAAGCGTTAAAGAGCTTTCTCAAATAGAAAAAAAAAATCATGGATTTTATTTTATTTCATTTTCCTTCATTTCTGGATTTACCATTTTCGGTTTAAGCAGACTACACTGTATTTAATGTTATTTTTAAATTTTTCGTTAGTACAGTTACGCTACAAATTCTCCTTTTATTTCACAGACGAGCAAGAGTTGACTCTGTTGAATAGCAGTCACCACCATGGACTACTTCATGCTACTGATTTCGATTGGATTGGGAATTGCAATCCCTTGTCTGTGTGGCTTCCTGGTTTTGTTTTACGTCTTCCCAAACTACATGGTCAAGATCTTCTTAATGTAAGTCGATGAAAGGCCCGTCACATTTAGGGCGAAGAAAAAAAAACCTGGAGTTTTTCTTAGAATCAAAACTTTCACATTCTAATGCTAAGGGTGTGGGGATAAATATCATAAAAAAACAAAAACAGTCTCAATTGCATTAAGATGGCTCATACAACAGCTGTTGTTTTTTTTCCTGTACCAAAAAAGAGTCCTTTCTCAAAGATGGTGAATCTTAGAGATGTATTACTTTTGGATATAATGCTCATTTTTGTTGATTCATTGGCACTTGGACTCCTTTCAGCCCAACTCATGAATGCTGTTGTCAGAAATGGTCTTTATTTAATAGACCATTGATGAAATTAATGCCCTGCCTTTTTTGTTCATCTCCCAGGTTACGAGAACGCTCAGCGGGTATGAAAATCAAGTATGTCGGAGACGAGGACTTTGTCTTCTGCTATGGTGAAAAGAACAAACCTCAGCCTGATAAAACCAGCATTTTGTTTGTCCATGGCTTCACATCCTCCAAAGACCAGTGGATAACTTGCTTTAAGGTCAGTCGTGTGTCACATTGAGCCTCAGTCGATACATTCTCATTCATTGGGATTTTTAAAAATTATTTTAATCTGAAGTACAAAGAGCTAAAGGCTTTCATAAAGAGGATCCAGGTTTTCTTGAACAAGTGTCTGAGAAAGTTACTGAGCATCAGATAGACAGACAGGGTCACCGACGAGGAAGTGTTGAGGAAAGCAAGACAGATCCCAGTCAGAGATGAGGTAGGAAGATGGCAGTGGCGATGGATTGGACATACTCTCAGGAAGTCGGGCAGATGCATAACAAAGAAAGTGTTGAATTGGAATCCACTGGGCAAAAGATCAAGGGGAAGACCGTGTGAAACCTGGAGAAAAATCACAGAAATTGATGTACAGAAAAGTGGGAAGACAAGGAATAACATCAAGAGGCTAGCCCAGATTAGAGAATGGTGGAAAGTGTTTGTTCATGGCCTGTACCCTGGTGCAGGGTGAGAAAGGCAATGATGAAATACAAAGAGCAGTTCTGTCAAACTGAGGTTAACTCACTCATTGATTTGCTGCGATGAAAAGAAAAAGCCAAGGTGGTTGGCGGGTGCTCTGGTGTGGTTTGCTCCTTCTTTCCTATCAAACATCTATCCCCCTAATCTCTCTTCCTTCTTTTTTGTGTTTGTTGCTCTCTTACTCTCTTGTAACACCTCTAAATCTTTAGCACTTAAATGACCTATGTTGCAAGTGCTGTAAAATGGGTACTAAAACAAAACACACACAAAAAAAAACAGCCAAAAAAACCAATGCAACAAAAGAAACAAATTTAATATGGCTGATTTTTTTCCCCTTCATGAAATGATAACAAAATCACTTTTATGGTGAAGTTAAAAAGTTGCCCTTTTTTAGGGAAATTGAGGCGTAGCTCACAATTCTTTGAAAGAAAATGGATCAGTTAGAGCAGAGATTTGATTCTTGAAGTCATGATCACAGTTATCATCAGTTGAAGGGGAAGGACAAAGCTGATCAAGAAGGTGTTTTTTTTCCAAGAATTCAAAGAATTTTTTCTATATATACCTTTATCATCATAATACATTTAGTCAAAAACCTGTTCTAATCAACACCTGTCCAAGACAACCCCTGTTCAAAAGAAAAGACAACTTCCCACCTTCCCCCTTGCATTTTTATATATTTGTAATGACACTGTCCAAAGTGACCTCTTTTCCCCGTAACAATGGGTGGACATCTTAGACAGGTTGGAACTGCGTCTAGGCAGAATTCACAGTTAATCGCCATGTATACATTTTCCACGATGCCAGCCTTTTCCTCAATCTCCTCTTGGAGCTCAGGTGGTCTAAAGGTACGGTGTTCGCCTCTCTTTCAATAGGTCCTGGGTTCGAAACCTGACAGTGACGCAAAAATGTATTCTCTAAACCTAAAATGGTCTCCTTTCTCTTCCTTTCCTGCTCTCCAGTCATGTTCTTTCATCTGCTTTCATCTCCTGTTTCATCTCTCTTTCTCCCTTGCTTCTTTTCTGACCCGGTTCCAGAGTCTGGACACTGATCTTCACATGATGGCGCTTGATCTGCCGGGTCATGGGGGTTCAACAATTCCTGGTCCAGAGGTCAAGACAGACATAGAGTACGTAATGGGCAAACTGAATAAGGTAAGCTTCTTTTGTGTTAGTCGTGTATTTATCTTTTTTTCTTCTTCTTTTCATTAGATTCTATTTCTTACCACTATATATCTACAGTAGGCCTACTGTGGCTGGAGCCTGCTCGTGAATGAACTGAGATTTACATGTTGTGTTTATTTATGTACTAATGCAATCCTAATGCATCTGGTTTTAGGAGTAAAGCTGAAAAGGGCTCGTAATTGAAGTAAGAGTTTCTTCGTAACTAGACACAGAGTTTGTTTTCTTCTGGGCAGTGTTACAGTCAAAGAAATTGGGCTCATTTTATTTCCCTGTATTAGACTGAATGGCAAAATATATGTGTGTTGCTGGATTGGGAACAATTACAGCTATAACAATACGGTGAAGACAATGAATCATGACATACTTCTTATGTTCATAAACGTGTCCCGTTTTAAGTTTGGGCTTGATTTAAGATGGGTGAACGTCTGTGAAACAACTAGGTATGTTGTTCATTGTAAAAATTTAAGGAATGTGTTTGTGTGCATAACAGCATGGGAATGAAGAGTATGTGTTAAGGAGAAAAGGAGAGAGAGAGAGAGAGAGAGAGAGAGAGAGAGAGAGAGGGAGAGAGGGAGAGAGGGAGAGAGGGAGGGAGGGAGGGAGAAAGAGAGAGAGAGATGTTAACTGTTCATATCTACTTAACTATGATCTATTTAAAATTTCCTTTGTGGATAATAAGTTTTTCTCATCCTGCTGTACTTTGCAGTTCTTAGACCTGGTCGGTGTCTCTGATCGCAAGGTGCACATTGCTGGGTCGTCCCTAGGGGGTGCAATATCAGGCATATTTGCCGCACACCACCCTGAGCGAGTGGAGAAGGTCAGCATCATATGCCCTCCCAGTAAGTTTGTGCACATCTTCTGATGTTTTTAGGAATTATATTACTGTGTCTGTTGTTAAGTAGCCTACTCAAGAGAAGACTCTGTTTGCAGACCTGTCATGCATCCAGATTTAATTAGGATATCCCGATTTTTTAGCCCCAAATCTCAAACATCCCGATTTCGATTGCCTGTGTCCCTTTTTTTTTGTTCCATCTGTTGCACCGGATTTTTCTACAAACTTACTCTGCCTTCATATATTTATGGACACCCCTGGAAAATTGTTAAGTTAGCTTGGCAGTCACCCTGGTGAATTGTGGTTGGTCCTGGTTTTTTTCTCCCCTTTCCTGGTTTTTTTCCCATGAGATTCTGATTTTTAGATTTCATAGAGTGACAGGTCTGTGTTATGAGAGTCAAAGACACACTGTTTGATTCTGTCACTTTACTTGTTCATTAATGTGATGCAATCACAGAATTGTGTTAGCATATTTCTTTTGCTTTGAGGTCAGAGGTACATAATATGTGAAAAAAGCTTCATTTTCTAGGATAGACTTTAAATTGTTCATTTTTTATATAATCTCTGGTATGGCCAGTGAGTTGGTGAGCCCAAAGCATGTGCCTCATCCTCACCACAGGTTGCATATTCCTCCCATTTCTTTTTTGGGTGGGTGCATGTGCATGCGCATGTGTGTGGTGAAACACTAGATCAATGCACCAGCATCTGCACAATGAAGAATGGTCCTACTTTATCCTATCATTTATCTGATCTTATCTGATCTTATCTTATCTTATCTTATCTTATAATTTGTCTTATCATTTCTTATCATTTCTTATCTTGTCTTATCTTATCTTATCTTATGCTCTTTTCATGCTGTATCTTATGATACGGTGCCTTATATCTTATCTTACCATGTCTTATAATATCTTATCTTATCTTATCTTACTTGCCCACAGTGGAAACACCAGTGAACAGTGCGTTCCTGAAGGAGTTGAAGCAGGCTATGGCTCTGGAACCGGAGAGTCTGACCTTCGAGCACTGCTCACTGCTGCCTCAGGACCTGGAGAGCACAAAGAAAATGTTTGATCTGTGCACTTACAACAAAGTGTCCGACAAACTCAATGACCAGGTAAATAAAAAAGTTCACAATAAAATAAGAAGAAGAAAAGTTTGTCCACCGTGAACTGTGAACTGATGATGACCCTTCACATGTAAGAAGGAAGAGAAGTTATAGACCTTGACCTTACTTCGATAGCTAGCATGGCAGAGGGAGTGAAGTGTAGGAAATGATAGCAAGCAACTTGTAATGATCATAATGCCAGTGCTTTTCTCAATCCTAAAGTGGTGTGCTTTTCTGCCTAAATATAATGATTAATTAGTAGAAAAAGGTTGTTACATTGTTGTTACAATGTGATTTATACTAATGCCCTATCTTTCCTTTGCCCACAGAAGGCATTTTTAAAATATCTCTTGGGGGGGGGGGGGTTTCATGTCTTGTCTGTTTGAATGTGTCTATTAGTTTAGCTTAATTTATATTAAATGATTGATTTGTAGCAGACAAAGACATCTATCATGAAAGCAACGAAGTTTAGAGATTTAACACAGAGGACACTCTGGGGTCATGGTTGTAATGGCTAGACTCTTTGGTTAGCTCAGGAAAAAAAGATTTCTTTGATGCCTATGAGGGGGGAATATTTTGTCATGTATCCGTGAGTTTGTGCCTTGAAGGTCTAAAACTGCAATAGTGGAGCTCCATATTTTACCCCTTCCCCACTTCCAAGGCACCATGAATTGTAGGGAATAGTAGTTGATTTTATTTGAAAAGTAGGCCTTTATCTTTATCATGGAACAGTAAGTTTGATTTTCTGTCAGTTTTGGTTTTATGAGTTGTATACCTCTTTCCAACATCTTGCATGAGAGATTCTCAGTCTGAAGAGGATAAAAATACCCTTTCCCTTTTGATTCAAAACCTTTCCAAGGACCATCATAAATAAATGTAAAATGGAACAAATATTGCAGCCCACAGGTTCAGAGGAATCCCTGTCATGGACCATGACTGTGTGGTAGGTCTTTACTCACCGGAGTTTTCTACTCGACTGGCCGTGTAGGACGAAAATGCAAGTCCACTCAAATATGATTCAAAATATAATCCAAGACAGAACACACAAAGTTGAAATTGCGTTTCAACTTGTCGGGGTCACCAATGTGGTAGGTCTTTACTCACCGGAGTTTTCTACTCGACTGGCCGTGTAGGACAGTCGGGTCAGGTGGTGTTTTTTGTGTGAGCACTTTGCAGGTCTGTGCGAAGTCATGGTCATGTCAGCTGCTGTGTTGTGAGTTAATTGAGTGTTCGGAGAGTCACTACAACTGTGAGGTTGTTCTCAACATGGAGGTACCACTAGCTTGTGTTTTTCTTCCACTTAGTGGGCTTTTTCTCCCCCTATTTCCTACTCACAAAGCATCAGTAGTATAGTGATTAGGTTACCAGACTGGTAATTGTGAGAGTGCAGATTCAGGGTTTGGAGTCTCAGCTTGATCCAACGTTGTGTCCCTGTGAAAGGTACATTATCACACTTTTCCCATTTAGCTCACTCTTATGAGATAACTCAAATAACTTTAAAGTGTTGCAAGGGGTGTAAAACCATACAATTTCATATTTTTGTTATTCCTTGCTCTCATTTTCTGCTGTTCATTCTTGCATACACAGATCTGGAAAGGATTCCTTCTGCTGAGGCTCAACAGAAATGATTTTAATCTTCGCAGTAAGTCGCACTTCTCACTGAACCCGGGTATTTCCTTACAGCTTGCTGCCGAACAATCAATAAGAATTATCGTCTTAGATAAATTTGCTTTATTTTAATAAAACTCTTGTAATCTTACTATACTCATGTAACTGTCTGGGGGTTTTTTTGCGGCGAAATGATACTAGTAATGAACGTTCTTGTATGTGTTTGTATTTAACAAAATTTGCTTTCTTTCATGTGGATGGGAAAGGCGTATATTTTATAATCTATTTTTGTTTTTAAATGTAAAATTTGCAGGTGACTACAAAGTTCCTGGGAAAAGCTACTTTTTTTTAGGTTTCATTTTTTTTCCTTTCAATAATTCTTTGTTTGATTTGCGGTTTTAAGATTGCATTGTTATATATGGAACTAGGTTTGTTATTTTTTAAAAACATTCTTTAAGAACAAAGTGAGAACAAAACGTGTCTTATCATGACCAAAAAATTAAAGAAGTGAATGAGTTCCTCATGTTGTTCTGTAACATTGTCTTTCTATTGTGGCTCGAATTTTATCTTTCTCTCCTTGCTGGTGGTTGGAGAGTGCCACTGGTAGGTTCTACTTCTTCTCTGTCCCTCTGTTTTTTGTTGTTTTTTTTGTCCTGCTTTTTCCCCTAAAGAACCGTTATTCTGTTGATGTGCTTCCCTTTACTTCTCAAACAAAAATCATTCCTCCTTTCTCTTTTTTTAGTGTTCAAGAATTTGGCCAACTATGACTACCTGAACCTGCTGACGTCACTAGCACCAGAAATAAAGGTGCCCTCTCAGTTGATTTGGGGCCAGGATGATGCAGTAAGTGGTTTCGGTGAATAAACCAGCCTACTATATATTGTGGGTTCGGTGGCGGAGTGGTTAGTGCTCTCGTCTCGAAGCGGAAAGTCCGGGTTCGAGCATGGGTGCGGACACAGGTTTGTTTTCGCCTCCTCCTGCTCACCCCGCAGTAATGGGTACCTGACTCCAAGTTGGGGAAGTAAAGGCGGCGTGGAAAGGAACTGGCCTCCCTACCACAATATGTCGAAGGCCCAGGAAGTTGTCTCACTAACAAGGCAATCCCCAATTTCCGGATCTGATGCGGTAACAACTTTACTTTATTTTACTATATATATATTGCTTAAAGCAGGTATGTCTGGGAAGGGAGCCTAAAACATTTACCGTCATGGTTATACAGTTGGACCTGCTGTAATGACCACCAGTTTAAGACAATCACCTGTTAAAGCTAACAATTCCCTCTTCCCTCACTTTCGTTTTTATTGAATATTATAATGACACTGTCAAAGTCGTCCACCTGTCCAAGACTGCTGCTTTTCTCATTGACAGTGTGTGACTGTCTGGGACAGTTTGATTGTGTTTTATATCCCTGTCCTAAAGGGCCGTTCTCAAATTATCAATTAACATTCTCTTAATTTGACCACAAGATCATTATCAAATCACATTTTCTTAACTTGAACGATTGTCTACCAGAATGAAGCATAATGAAAATGAACCTTCTTGAAAAAGGAATTACAGTTGTACCTGCTCTAATGACTAGCTTTCCTAGACAATCAACTGTACATACAACCCCTTCTACTATCTCCCTTGTGGGTTTTTTTTCCTTTATTATAATGGTACTGTCCAAGAGGACCCTCTTTTTTGTTTTTTATTGGGGTCTTGGACAGATTCAACTGTGTTTGTATTATTTGTAGAGTTTAAATCACTCGTTAATAACTGAATTTTAAAAAAAGTCTTTTATGTCGGGGGTGGGGGGGTGGGGACGACTATGCTGCGGCCCTCTTTAGGTACGAAATCTAAAGGTGACATATATGTCACTAAATGGTAATTAAATCAAAACAATTGAACCCATTTTGAGAGTTCTTCATCTAGTGAATGAACTCCCGGTAAAAGAGACCTGTTTTCAGCAATTGATGTCGAAGCCTTGGTACAGGAATGTGCCTGAGAGGTTTGCCGGATAAAAGGAGTTAAAATATTCTTGTTAAATTTTTCAGGTCACTCACATGAGCGGAGCTGAAGTTCTTCAGTCTAAGTTGCCAAACTGCCGTCACGTTGATATCCTGGAGCAGTGTGGCCATGCCATTGACATTGATCGGCCAGGCGCTTTATGCAAGGCTCTTTCAAAGTTCATCAAGGAGGACGTGGATGCTTCATCGGAGGTCACCACACTGAGGTCAAGCTGGAAAAAGGAGGACAAAAAGGGAAAGTAAAAGGATCAAAATGCTGGGTTTGGGGCGAAGTGTGTGTTTTTTTAATTTTTAATTTTTTAATTTGTTTTTTTTAATATATTTAAATGAGATAGAAATCTCATAATGATCAGAAAGAAAGGAAATATTTGTATATATTGTTATGTTGAATTGTGGCTCAGGATGTTCCTCCACTTTGGTTCCAAAAGTCAATTTTGATATAATGATGGCTTCGCAATGTTCAAGAAATTCTGAATGTTAAAAAATTTCTCACTCCCATGATCTAAATCATTTCTCAAGCAGGTTACTGGTGTCTGTGATGTTGTGATTATGCGTTTTGCTGTGGCATGCTGAAAACCCGAGTTCGATTCCTTAGTGGGGAGAAAATTTTTATCGAGTATCTCAGTCTCACCCTGCCTGTCTAGGTCAACCCGTGCTGAGTGGGATACAGTATCTCTGTTCTGCACATCGGCGCAGATTGCGCTTCGTGTTTTAACAATCGTATAAATGCACGGCAATCTGAAGATTACGTTAATATTGTATATTTTTTCATTATTTATTTAAAAATTCACTCCCATTTTTATTTTTTTACTCACATTAAGGAACATTCACATATATTTTCAAAAATGTAAAAATATGAACACTAAAATTAAAATTAACATGAAACTGAAGAGCTCACAAGAATTATACAATTATACGATCGTTAAAACGCGCGGCGCATTGCGCCGATCGGTAATTTGCGCGGTACATCTCCGCAGAAAGACAAATATTCTTGATGATAATTATAGATTATGTAGACTTCCCTTCGCTCAAATGACTTTATGCAGTTGCGAGTGCTGTAAAACCCTCTACTAAAAAAAAAAAAGACTTCCCTTACATGGGAATTGAACTCGTGTCTTTGGTGTGCAGTGTGAACAACGTAACCATTACACTAAACGCTTGTGTGCTGATCTATCTTCTGTATCCTGGGGAAGTGACAGTGTTACTCAAGAACATAAGAGAATGTGACTCAGTCCTACTCATGACAATTTGGCCATGTCCCTGTCCTTTTATAATGATAATTGATATTCTCAGTGGAGAAAGCAGAAGGTGAGACGACCTGTCTAAAAATGTGATATTGTGGCAATCGCTTAGAAAATAAGTCTCACCTTTCGACCTTGATTTTTAGGGTGAGTAAATAGCACGAATTGCTGAGCTTATTTTATTTTGTTTATTTGCTAATTTTTAAATTATATTTTAGGTCAGTTTCTGAGAAGGTTAATTTCAATGGTCAGAAGTTTTGTGTAGTATACACGGGTGTATGAGAGTGTGACTTTGTTTCCATTAAAAAAAGAAATAGATCACCTAGGCTATATTATGAGAATAAATCTATTTCTAAGGCAATTGTTTATTTGCTACCAAATACTCTTTTCTTTTGGGTGGTTTTTGTAATTATTGCTAGTAACTTAGATATAAACTTTTCATGGAGGTACAATAAGATTACTTTGTGACATTTTTCACAAAACTGAATACTGGCTTATGTGACTTGTCGTTTTGTCGCCCGTGGCAAGAAAAATTTGTAACACTGGCTGACCCTGCTTTACAGGGTGAGCAATGAAAAGTACATATGTGTATGTGTATATATATATATATATATATATATTTTATATATATTTATATAAAAGACATGCTGACATATTGAGTTATTTCTCAGATTTTAGCACTTTGGACATAGGTACACCAAATGCATAGGTTGAGCGTGTACAATTTATTAGTGTGAAATGATAAAAGACGTGCTAAATTGGAAGAACATGGCAGCAGTTGAAAAATCTACAAATTTGACCCCTGTGTTGATTTTCGGCCGATATTTCCATTCAAGGATTGTAAGAAGTAACTCATTTTGTCAGCACACCTCATATGTAGAAGTTACTCATTTTTCCTACAGCAGTAGCAGTTCATGGATCAAGTTTCCCCCTCTTGTTGCTTTACGTTTCCAAGGTTTGAAGATGTGCTTGTTCAAGTTTTCTGTGTTCAACTGTGTCTGTGTTGATGCTAGTCGGTGCAGTCTGTAACACACGAGCATGCCGTGTCATGTGTGTGCATTGCTGTGTCTACAATACCGTACATATTCCTGACAGGCTTGGAGTATCGAGTTATAGTGTAGTACATATTTTATATACATGAGACAGTACATATTTAAGTAATGGAGACGAAAGTGTAGATACGTTATATTTATTCCTTTTTGCTGAACCTTTTCATAACTGACAACCTCTACAGATGTCAACAGCCTTAAGTGACCTGCTACGTCTATTGATGTATAAGAAACAACCATGTTGAAGTAGCTGTTTCGTTTCTTTTATATGTATACTTTGACGCCTCGAAGTATTTATATTCACTTGGTACTATGCTCACCAAATTTTATGACCCAAAGTAAAAATGTTTTTAGCAATGTCCTATAATATCTTAGGTTTCCTTAGATTAATAAAAATCCATTGTTTACAACAAACCAGGTAAAAAATGGTAGTAGTTTTGTGGTAGATGCTGTAACCAAAGGGTTAATATGTATGTACAGTGCCATATTCTTATATATATATACACGTGTTTGATATGTGAATGATATGCAGGTTACACAGAATAGTGTACAGCTATAGATGTGGAAAGTAGAAAAGCACTTGAATTAACCGGGATGTCAAGGGGGATTGTGTTTTCCATTTTTTCCATTTATATCCGTCATTTCACATGATGAAATTTAAAAGAATGTCTACAAATGTGGACATTTATGTAGTTTTTCTAAGCCGAAAAGAAAGTAAGAAGAACCATTCCAGATATTATCATCACAAATTCCCTTTGGCATCCCCAAAATATGAAATGATGGAAGAGCTTTTTTAATTTATATTTTAGCTGTATACGTTGAATGGGTCCCCATTCAATTCAAACTTAGGGATAATTCCTCTAGTCAGTGAAAATATACTCGTACATGAAATCAGGTGCCTTGTGTATATTTTTATTGGAGACGTATGGGGTAATTGCCAATAAATAAAAAAGACAAGATTCTAAGACTGCATCGATCAAGTTCATGTACTCAATGAATAGCCAAGAATTTCAGTGGAAGGGAGATTTTGTTCCGACATTTGGTCGCTTTTAAGCTCAAGGGGGCTATCCTGAATCTGGGTTACCCCGCTTGTCCTTAAAAGCAGCCATTGTATACATTGTTAACCATGAAAACCTGTGATTGAGACTCTGAGTGGCCTTTTCACTTTAAAGTTTCTTATGAATTATTACTGTATTTGGAAAATGTGCTATGACTTTTTTTGGTGGAGAAGATGACACCTTGATCATGTTTTATTTCCCTGATCTCTGTGCTATTAATGTATGTCACTTTGTGCTGTATCAACGTAGTTTGTCCATTGGCTTGCTTCCGTCATTGTTGTAGTTCAAAATAATTTTTTTTCATTCAGTGGAACTCGGTTTCAACAAAGTCTTCAGGCCTGGCCTTCAATTTCGTTGAATCTGAGTGTCGGTTATGTACTTGTATAGCAAATATGAGGTTTTTGTTTAGATAATAACAGGCACCGAGCAAGTAATGTATAATAAAAATGACTTTCTAAATCAAAGTAGTTTGGTTTCAAATGAGAGGCCTTTTCGTTTCTTTGATACCGAAGAAATGCTGGAAAATTCAAGGAAAATACACTGAACTCTACCAAGCACAGGGTGTGTAGAAGGACTGATTCATTCAAAAGCTCATTTATGTGTTCATTGAATCCGAGTTAGTTTTAATGATTTTTATTCAATTAAAAAGCCAGGGAATCAAACTCCTTTCTTTGAATCCGAGCTTTTGTTGAATCCGAGCTCATTGAAACCGAGTTCCACTGTAGCATTTTTCATCAAAATGTCCTGATTCAAAGGGAAAAAAAGCCATGTGATACAAGTAACTTATTTCCACGTGTTCTTCTGTACTATGTCTTTTTTATGAAATATATTTGTTTCCTAAATGTGTTTACGCCTAATCATATGTATTACAAGGATTCCACTTCCTGCAAGGATGTTCCAAGACCATAACTTCGTGAATGCTCTCAGTTTTTAACGATTTCTTCTGAACTGTCTAGGAACAGAATGAATGCAGCGTACTGCTGTATGTCCCTAACTGGCTTTTATACTATATGTCCTCGAGGGATTTAGAGATGCCAACATGAATGAACACACAGGGGCCGGAAAGTTTGTCATTAATTTAACAACTCATTCAGAGGGGACAAAAATGTGTCTGGCCGTGGTGGAATCAGACACTCGTCATTTTTTTGGGAATGTGGAGTTATTGGTATCGCCTTGAAGCTTGTACATTTGCCTTGCTTTCGATGAAGGAAGTACCCATTTGTCTTCAACACAAGTCGAGATATTTGCGATTGAAGAAGGTGGGGGTCGCTTGGTTTCAGAGGTAAAATTAGCGAGAAAATGGGCGCCAAAATTTAGTTATTTACATGGCCCGAGAGTCCGTTGAAACTAAAAATTTACATTTTTTGTACCTTTAATCAACGTTTTTCTGCAAAACTCTCGCTGCAATGGGTTCTTAAATTGACATAAAAGGTTTGGAGCCAAAAACAAATTTTCGATAAAAATTGCAAAACCGGCGCGAGAATGCCAATTTCTTCAATGTCATTATTTTGACGAGCGCCTGATTTCACCATGCTGCCTCACAAATAGACTAGAATGGAACTGAAGTTATTGTCTATGATTAAAGAGAAACTTGATTTTATTGAACCATTTTGTAAAATATATGGATATCACAGTAAATATTTTATTTGAATTGAAACATTTCTTTCTCTAGAGCCCTCACTTCAAAAGAAACTATTTACCGACAAACATTGCACTGTATTTGCTTATATTACTTTATGCAACACTATGTGTATTTGCTTACTTTTAAACACTTTCCTCTTTTGACATACAAACCAATGTCGGCGTGTAAATTATTTGCTCCCTCAGTCCCTCACTTTTTTTGCAATCTTCAACTATTATAATGTGTATGGATTATGCCTAATCAGATGTAGTACCTTGATTCCATTTCATCTATCTATTTCCTATGTGTAACTTGACAGACATATTTGATATAAATTTCAAGTTTGAATGGAATATTATGTCCGATGTTGGGGATAAATCGCATTCTGTTTCTGGAACTGTTTTTTTCCCACTCTGTGTTTTAGTTCATCCCATATTGAACTTTGAGGATTACTTTTCAGTCTTGCTAATCTTATCCCTGCTCGCTTGTGGTTTGGTTATGAATGGATCTTGCTTTAATAAATTAGTATTGATACTGGAATTGCTGAGGAAGGATGATGGTTTGACATGTTTCACAGTCTGGAATTTATTTCTGTTTCTGCTTATTTTCGTAAAATCTGCAAAAAAAGATATGTGTGGATCTCACTGAGTTTAGAACTGAGCTCCAGTTTTCTGGGATGGTCTAAAAAATATATTCTCCTTTTGTTACTTTTATATTAATTGTTGTTGTTTATCATGATAGCTTATGAAAGTGTTTTATGTGAATGTGTATGAAAGTTGTGATTGGAGAAACATGCAGAAAATTTTTGGCCCTGGAGTTTGAAAATATATGATGGGTTTCTATTTACTTTGAACACAAAGTGACGATCAACGAAGAG